TCGGCAAAAAGGTCGAAGAGGCCGTAGCTGGTGCTAGTGATGGCCAGGTGTTCCTCCTAGAGAACCTCCGCTTCCACGCCGAGGAGGAGGGAAGCTCTAAGGATGAGTCTGGCAAGAAGGTCAAGGCCGACCCAAGTGCCGTCGAGGCTTTCAGGAAGGGTCTGACTGCCTTGGGAGATGTCTACATCAGTACGTCAATTGCACATAACTATTGTCCTCATTGAAGAAGATAACAGCCCCTTCTAATCACCATTCACTCTTAGACGACGCATTCGGCACTGCTCACAGAGCCCACAGTTCCATGGTTGGCGTTGATCTTCCACAGAAAGTCTCTGGATTTTTGGTCAAGAAGGAGTTGGAATACTTTGCAAAGGCCCTTGAGAACCCCCAGCGACCTTTCCTTGCCATCCTCGGAGGAGCTAAGGTCTCGGACAAGATCCAGTTGATCGACAACCTCCTTACTAAGGTCAACAGTCTCATTATCTGCGGTGGTATGGCCTTCACCTTCAAGAAGGTGCTCAACGACCTGAAGATCGGAAAGAGTTTGTTCGACGACGAAGGCAGCAAATTGGTTCAAGGTATCATGGAGAAGGCCAAGGCCAAGAACGTCAAGGTCGTCCTGCCAGTTGACTATGTCACTGGCGACAATTTCTCTGCTGACGCCAAAGTTGGCTATGCTACCGATGCTGATGGCATCCCCGATGGCTGGATGGGTCTAGACTGCGGCAAGGAGAGTGTCAAGCTCTTCCAGGAAGCCATTTCTGAGGCTAAGACCATCCTCTGGAACGGTCCTCCAGGTGTCTTCGAGTTCGACTCCTTTGCTCAAGCCACCAAGGATACTCTCGCCTCCGCAATAGATGCTGCTCAGAAGGGAGCCATCGTCATTATTGGAGGTGGTGACACCGCAACCGTTGCCGCCAAATTCAAGGCCGAAGAGAAGTTGAGCCACGTCTCGACCGGCGGTGGTGCCTCTCTTGAGCTTCTTGAGGGCAAGGATCTGCCCGGTGTCTCTGCACTTTCGAGCAAGTGACTCTCTTCCCACGTATGATATGAGATTTTAAAACCCCCAGCTTCCTTTCCCTGGTTCAGTTCGCCACCGGGCCATGTTGATATCACTGGAGATACTAATGTACCAAAATTTCTTAAAGTAAATATATGTAACCAAACGAAGAAAAAACTGTTTAACATCATCTTTCAGTATGAACGTTGGCTCCGGTCGAAGACTGTATATCAGTAAAGACTGAAGATAGTAGTAATATGGTTCGAAGTAGAGAGTGACCAAGATGTAGTAGTGTCAATCTACTTGATTGTCACTATAAAATTTTACTTACACCCCCCAAGTCCCTAAACTCCGCTAAAGAAAAACCCATGAGGCTGATGAGGAAACAAGAAGAAAGCTGGTAGCAGCACAGATGAGAGAGTCCATTCTTTAACAACAGCCTAGTCATCGCTTGGCAGCTTCCACCTTTTTAATCTCCTCCCTGTAGAAAAACAGCTTGTCAGCATCCATGCAAATGAAGCAGTAAATAATCGAGAGGGAAGAGAGGGTATATCGGGGCCCAGCAGAGTACGCACGCTAGTTGTTTAGAGAAGTCCTCACTCGCATCGTCGTCATCCCAGCTTTCTTCCCATAGATGGTCGTTGCCAGATCCTCCGCTCGGAGCTTCTGCCTCTTCTTGAGGCCAATCTATAATCGTAACAGTAACGTATAAGCAGACTGGTCGTCAACACACATAAAAGGTTCAGGCCCATGGCCACTCAAATAGCAACAACACAAGCGCATACCTTCTACCGGGAAATCTTCAAACTCGTCATCTTCTTCCAGAGGAGCAGAAAGGTTCTGGGCTTTTTCTGACTGTGCTGTCTCCGCCGACTGAGGTTTGGCAGCGCCCTGGGAGGCGGGCTGACTCGACATGGTGGCTGTGTCTTATAAAAGCGGTTGAAGAGGGTTTATTACCGGCGGGCCAGCACGGTCACAGTGCAAAGAAAGGTCAGGGAGCGGTATGAGAAAGCCTTTGGTCGTTATCCGGCCAGTTGATGATTCTCGTTCTTTTTGGCTTTCGCTGTTGATGCGACTTTGGGAGAGCTGTGGCTTATGTAAGCTCCGCCAAAAAGCCCGACCGTTTTCCAGCTTCCGCTGCAGCTTCTGATATATTATTATTGATAGGTAGTTAACGTTGATATTATTACGGAGATGATAGGAAGATAGATTGGTCTTGTATTTAGGATACACCGGTAGATTAGGGCTCTTAGCTGACTGTCAGGCTATTCAATGTTATCGCCTGCACTCCGCCATACTCGAAGCTGAAGGCGCCCTGCCCTGCCTTGCCTTAGCAGCTGTAGCTACCTTATCCAAGGCTTCTGTTTTACTCTAAGATGCTGACCACTCCGTAGCTATCTTGACCCCTAGGGTGAGGTGAGGCAAGCTAGCCAGGGCCTGTCTTTATATCAAGCGCTTGGCCGCGGAGACCGCCGAGACTCCGGGTATCTAGTTGCGTCTCAAACCAACTAACGACAGCCATCAAGGGGGAGCTATTTTCGGATTCTTCCTGGTCCAGATGACGAGTACGAAGATGTCCAGAGTACAGAGTACCGCGAAGTATAGCATTTATGTTGATGGTGACGGTGACGGTGACGGTGACGGTGACGATGACGACGCTACCTGTCCTCGGTTGGTATACGTGGTGAGCATTGGTCATGTAACTGATAGCGACTGAATGACGACAATACAGGCTATACTGCGGCCCGAACACAGGATGTCAACAGCTTAAGCTGTCGAAACCAGTCTAAGGGCACAGGAACAGGCCAGCCTCCCGCATCTTCAACGATTTATCTCGTTGCACTCTAGTCGAAGAGAGACCTCACGTGGCATCTCAGGTACCTGTGTGGCGGCGTCAGGAAGCAGAAGGGGAAGAAGCAAACATACAAGCCTTGGTAGTACGGCGGATCTCGTCGCTTGATTGATAGTTAGGTCCAGGGCCCAATGCCAAAGAAAGAATAAAAGGAGGCTGTCCAGAGAAATCCCGGAGCAGCCGGAGTTAAAGGGGCTCCCTTGTCTGAATCCTTCCTGCGACTACGAAAGCTCCTCTGAATCAGCCTCAGCCCAGCGTCCGAACATAGGGCATAGGATGCAGCGCAGCAACTGGCCCGAGACACCGCAGGCACGGCGGGCACATTGGCCTGGTCGAGTAGCAGCAAACGCCCATTTTGAAGGAGGAATCCTTTGGCCGTCGTCTATCTACAACGCTACAAACACTATGTAACTCATCGCGCCTCCGAGCCTTGGCGTGACCGAGACTCCGGCTTGGATCCCGTCATCTTCTCCGTTCTTTCTCGCTGGGGCGTCTTGTCTCTCGCCCATCCGGTTTGTGTTGCTTGTGTGTTTAGTTTTTATATACGGCAGCTCTCTGGACCGCCAGGCGAGGGAGACGAAAGAACGACAGGCAGACATCTAGTGGAGAGTGAGACAGAAGCGTCCCAAGGCTACAAGTCGCATAATTTATGCCATCCATCCGTGGCCATGCTGCAGGGATAGGGGTCCTTAGAAAATAAGTTCCGCTCCCGGGCTTCATCCTGCTAATACTCTCCGGCTGTCTATCTGCCTGCTGTCATTTCAATCTGCTTCACCAGAATAATATATAACACACCCGCCACTCACTCCATGAGCTATCTACCGCCCTATTGAATGCGTATAGCAAGCACCTTGCTGGTGATGAATTAAAGTAGTGCCTACTACCTTCAACAGCCCTTCTCCTTCTTCTACTCTTGTTTGTGTCTTTCTTTCTCTATCTCTATCTATATACAATACCAAAAAGGGCGCTTAAAAGTGTTTTTTATTCTTATTTTTTTTTTTTTTTTTTTTTTTTTTTTTTTTTTTTTTTGTCTTTTCTTTCCGTCTTAGCTTCTCGCACATAACCAAGTCCTTATATTCCTCTATCACCTTTGATACCAACCTTACTTCACCATCCTCTGTTCTTCTTCCCTTTCTTTCTATTAAGGCTGCGTCTAGTTGGTGAAGATAGCCAATATGTTCCGTGTAGGATCATGGCTGTACTCCAAAGCAGCTCCAACAAACACGTCTACTCAGTCTCTGGATGCTGTGACTGAGTCTCAGGACCGTACGTTACATATACCTCTTCTACCATCTGAAAAACACCTGCTAATAGTTTATTTCCTTCTATAGTTGAGCATGCATTAAAAGGTATTCTTCTATAGATATTTGATATCCATATTTATGACTTTACTAATGGTTTTCCGAAGCTGCTGCCTATATTATGGATGACGATGTTGATTCAGCAGAGAGAGACCTTGATAAAGGTGATTCTTCTTTTCACAAGGTAAACAGCAGCTGGACATCAGTTTCTATTCTCAGTAACCAGCTAACTGTTTCCTTTGTATAGCTAGGAAAAGGCATTGTCACCTTTGTGAGAGCTACACTTGGCTTGGAGCAGAATATTATGCGGCAAGGTATGGCTTGTTTTAAACAATCTTTGCTTATGATACTGACTGACACTATGCTATAGCTGCTTCGAGGCTTATGGATGCAGAAACAAGTGCCTATAATGACCAGCATAAAGCTCAGCACAATGCAAATGCTGTCAATGCCTATCATTCTACTATATATGCTCCCGGGACTGAGTACTTGCTATGTCAATGTATGGCCCAGCTCATGGCCGCCCTGGTGGGAGTCCTCAGCGAGAGCTTTTCGGAGAGTATAAAAGCATTCTATAAGCTGAGAAAGGCTTATATTGCACTCGATAGCATTGCTCAGATGGAAGAAAAGTACATGAAAGAAAACAACCTCAGCCTTGGAGTCGAGTCACGCTTGGAGAGTGCCAATGGTAGCCCCATTTCAGGGAAACCAGCAAGAACTGTAGACTCTTCGTCGCAAGGTACTGTTTGAATCTGGAATCTGGCTCATGAAGCACTTTCTGGACTAACATTTACTAACATTACCAGCAGAACCAAAACCAGAGGCTAAGGCTCCCCTTCCAAGATCAATGTCAACTACCTCCCTCGAGGAGGTTACAAATGAAAGTTTTCAGAGCTCACAGAGACGACTTTCCCGGCTTACTTTGGGAAGTGAAAATGATGTTTCCAAAGCAGCCGAGGGGCCCCAGGCCAAGCTTGACATGAACGGGGATGCCGATATCTTCTCCCACCCCGTAGACCATTTCATTCACTCGGGAACCAGTCTTTGCTTCGGTATGCTACTTCTGTTCATTTCCATGGTACCCCCAGCTCTCAACAGGATCTTATACATTATTGGTTTCCGTGGTGACCGATCCCGAGGGCTACGGCTGCTCTGGCAAGCTAGCCAGTCTCATACATTGACGGGAGCTATTTCTGCCCTGACCTTATTAGCCTTTTACAACAGTTTCGTGCGTGCAGCCGATATCTTACCTGATCCCGTTGATGGAAATGTGGATGACATCGAGGGATATCCAATGAGTCGACTTGAGAGTTTGCTCGCTGATATGAGGAACCGTTTCCCTCACAGCCAGCTCTGGGTCCTTGAAGAGTCCAGAATGCGAGGAGCCAACAGGGAGGTAGAAGAGGCCCTGAGATTGATTCGTAATGGGAAGAAGAGCCCTCTGAAACAGGTACAGGCTCTCCACGTTTTTGAGAGGAGTATAGATGCCATGCATCTACACCAGTACGAGCTATGTGCAGAGTCATTCATAGAGGTAAACTAATTCCCAAAGCTAGCCTAGGTAATATATCGGTACTAATTACTGTTCCCAGTGCTCCGAACTTAACTCTTGGTCCCGGGCATTGTATTTTTACATTGCCGGCGCCGCACATGTAGAACTTTACCGCAAACACCTCAAAGAGTCACCAGAGAAGGCAAAAGAGCATGGCAAAAGGGCGGAGGAACTCTTCCGAAAAGTACCATCTCAGGCAGGGAAGAAAAAATTCCTGGCTCGCCAACTTCCATTCGATGTGTTTGTTACCCGCAAGGTTGCGAAATGGGACGCTCGCGCGAATGAGCGGAACATTCCCTTCATTGATGCAGTCGGTGTATCACCAATCGAGGAGATGAATTTCTTCTGGAACGGGCACAGCCGCATGCCCGACGAACAGTTGAATGTCGCGCTCCAAAACTTAGCGTGGTCAGAGTCTAACGAAACATGGGCTTCTGAACCACTTGATGAGCACTCCATATTAGCTCTTCTCAGGGCTTCCCTACTGCGAGCCCAACGGAAACATGGAGAGGCGAAGGCTATTCTGAAATCTGAGATTCTATGCCACGATAGGGCGCTATTCAAAGGCTCAAATAAGGATGACTGGACCTGCCCATCAGCACATTATGAGATGGCTGCAAATTTATGGATGGAGCGTCACTGTTACCGACCCTTTGGCCGTGCCACCGCTATTCCAGCATTTGATAAGGATGATCAGCCCAAGGATGAGGCAACCCGTGCAGCCGAGGATGAACAACGAGTCCAAGAATGTAAGGAGTGGCTTGAGAAGGTATACAAGTGGGAGGCATATGAACTGGATGCTCGGATCGGACTGAAGGTCACCACTGCGCAGGAAACAATCACGAAATGGGAGGAGGCTCACACCAAATAGCAAACTAGATGGACTCGGCCCATTTTTTATCAAATCCCATGTCACATACCTAATAACGTTCTCTGCAGCTAATACATCCCTTACCGGCTTCATTATATCCATCTTACACTGTTTCAAGTGTTATTTACACCGCTCTTCTTGAATGGTAACTGCTGGAGAATGCCGATGCCAATCGCCGCGGCTACCAAACTCCCGCAAATGTTCTCCACCATAAGAACACCCAGCCTCCAAGGTTATCAGATTTATCCCGACGGCATCAAGTACTCCGTCAGTACTGTGTATACCATATCTATATATATAGAGTCTCTAGATGGGCATGGCTGGCAAGTCTCTTCTATCCAATTAATTCCTTCCAATAGCTTCAATTTATCATTTCATTGTCAATATAACCAAACTAAATCAACGCTATATAGTTCCTTCCCATGGCAGCATCACCACTTTCTCAAAGTCAGCTCTATGAAAAGAGCAGCAGTTCCATAGACCCAGATGTGGAACAGAACAGGTTGACCAGGCTGGAGTCGGTCGTTTCTACCGCCAGCCAGCAGTGTGCAACGGCCATTGGTCGGCTGAGGGGTGGAGGTGCTGGACAAATAGCTCCCTTCACCCACCCACTAGGGCATATCAGAACTTCTCCAGACGTTATTGTCGATTTTGACGGGCCCGATGATCCTTATAGACCTGCAAATTGGTCGTTTAGAAAAAAGTGTCTTACCACTTTTCTATATGGACTGGCTACAATGGGTACATAAATACCTTGAACCCCGAAGATACGAAAGATATATTAATTAGACCCATATTAATAGGCTCTACCTGGGCAAGTGCAGTGTAAGATGGCCTTTGAACTTCTGTTTGCCGTGTTACTCTTATAACTGGCTGACTCTCGCCTCAACAGCTATGCCCCAGGAATCAAGCAAATCTGCAAGGAGTTCGGGGTTAATGAAGAAGTGGGAACAGTTGGTATCAGCTTGCTGCTCTTTGGATTCGGTCTCGGTCCCTTGATATGGGCTCCCCTATCCGAAAAATATGGAAGAAAGCCTACCGTTCTTCTCCCATATGCAATTGCAGTGATCTTCTCGTTTGCTACAGCAACTGCTAAAGATATACAAACCGTCTTACTATCACGGTTCTTCTGTGGGTTCTTTGGTGCTGCTCCAGTAACAAACACTGGTGGGGTTCTGGGAGACTTGTGGTCCCCCGAGGAGCGTGGAGTGGCCCTTATTGGGTATGCTATATCGGTAGTCAGCGGTACTGTATTGGGACCAATTACTGGAGGCGCAATTGTCCAAAGCTCCCTTGGATGGAGATGGACTGAATATGTAACGTCTACACCCCTTGTATAAAATTTTTGCTTCAGTCTAAGCTAACCTTCATGCTATCTCTAGATTACTGGAATCCTGACGCTTTTCATTCTCATACTGGACTCTATACTTCTCGATGAGACCTATCCCCCAGCTCTGCTTGTAACTAAAGCACAACATCTTCGCTACTCAACTGGGAATTGGGCATTGCATGCGCGCCATGAAGAATGGGACGTCGGGTTTGGAGAAATGGCCAACAAATATCTGGTTGTCCCTTTCCAGCTCCTTGGTACTCCTATATGTTTCTCAGTTGCCCTCTACGCCTCATTTGTGTACGGCATGCTGTACCTGAACCTTTCCTCGTTCCCAATCCAATTCCAGGAAGAAAGGGGCTGGAATCAACTCGTTGGCCAGCTCCCATTCCTTGCATTTCTGATCGGGATTCTATTCGGTGCAATCGCAAACCTGACGAATCAAAGATTCTATGTTAGGAAATACAGGGCAAATAACTGTCGTGCTGTATCCGAAGCTCGTCTCCCTCCAATGATAGTTGGATCTGTGTTGTTTGCTGGTGGTCTCTTCCTCTTAGGCTGGACTTCCGACCGGCGCATCCCATGGATAGCAACGACAATAGGGACAGCTATTATAGGCTTTGGGTTTTTTACCATCTTCCAGGCTTCCTTGAACTACCTCATCGATACATTTCCAACTGTATCTGCTAGTGCCGTTGCAGCAACCACCTTTCTGCGGAGCTTGTGTGCTGGTGCGTTCCCCCTTTTCGTGAGGTCAATGTACACGAAGCTGGGGATTCCATGGGCAGTCAGTGTGCTAGGTTTTATAAGTATTGTCCTACTTCCCATCCCTTATCTCTTTTACTTTTATGGGCCAAAAATTCGAGCAAAGGGTCGGTGGTCTCGTTCCTCATTATAACCAAAAGAAGTTCCGTTTATACTGTGCCTTGACCTATAAAACAGGGAGACCTTACATCGGGCATGTTAGATTTTCTTTGCACATCCATTCTGTTGGCAATGATGATACGTTTGTTAGACTTATAGGCCTAGGGTGGCTCTTAGAAGCCATCTTTCTACCGATAAAAGGGTATTCTGATCAATAATCTAGCATGATTGAATTGCTTGACTGTGGACGCTCAACAGCAAAGGAAACATTCCTAAAACCAGACCATTCCGCATTGATAAAACAAAGCCACTTATGAAACACCAGAAATTTCATACACCAGCCATTTCCAAATCTTCAACTGCCCCAAATTCCCAGTCACCGCTTCGAATCCTGCTTACTCGGTCCAACTCGCTCTGATACTCCTTGCGAAGATCTTCAAGCGTGATGACAATGCGTTTTGCACGGTTGATCTTCAGCTCAGACGATGACCGCGACAGGCTCGTATTGTGATTCTGAAAAGTAGGTGAATCAGATGAATTCATACTGCGGTTATCAGCACCGTGTGAGAACGGGTTCTTAAGGGAAGAAGTAGAGGAGGTGAATGGATCGTCAATGCTGCTACTTGGTCGATGGAGAATTGAATTCATGCTATCGGGTCGATTTGCGTTTGGATCAAATTGTTCGACCACAATGTATGCTTCGTTCTTCTCCATACAGGCGAGAAGGTTGATTAGGGAGAGAAGCTCGTTTCGCAATTCTCTGCTCTCAATGTCGTCTTCGTTCAGATCATTGGAAGCATCTTCGGCCGCAAAGAACTTCACCTGTGAGGCAGTTGGACGGTCTCTGAGGTCCCTGAGCTTGCTAACAATTTGATATGAGACCTCTGCTGCCCCGCGGATGTCATTGCGGGCGATTCGGTAAGCCTTTAGGACACGATGATATTCTGGTGGATTTTGGGTCCCCTGCCAACTGCTCAAGGGTACCGTTTGGCCAATAGAAGGTCCCAGGGGTGATTGTTTGCTCGCAAGAGATGCCAGAACATCATCAACATGGGAGCAGAGATGAGGTGTCAGGGAGAGAGGGAGGCGGAGAACCTTTTGTAGACCTGCTGTTCCTGGTCCATAGGCAGTTAGGATTGTAGTGGTAAGAGATGTTAGCGCAGATTTCTGTAATGCTAGATCTGTATATCTGGCGAGAGCTGAATAGGCATCATCAAATCGACATGTTTTCAAAGATGCATGGAATAATCGGGAAAGCAAGTCGCTTCGAAGATTCTTATGTTCAAGATCTGTCTCGTTTTTCTTTGGACTGGATCCAAGAGCCTGAAGTGCAAGGTTGGCGAAGTCAGCGACATGAATAAAGGCCCGAGAAAGCTCAAAAAGGTTAATGATGTGTTGGAAGTATCTCGGAAGCCCATTGTAGAAGTTATCTACGGAAACTATATCGAGAAGATTTGAGGACATCTCATGAAGATTCCCAACAGCTTTTCCGTAGGCTATATAATGATAATAGTCAATGAATGTGTACTAGGATCACATGTGGGAAATTGACTCACAAAGAAGGTAGGCAGCCTTTTGGAAGTAAATTGCTGCTGTGTCAAAATCGGACTTAGCTAGGTATAGCCGTCCCTTAACATAGGTTGCCCAGGCGGTACTTGGTTGGAAACGAAGGAAATCAGATGCAAGTTCGATGTTGTCGGAAGCGAGAAGATCACATTGGATAAACACCAAGATGTTAGAAAGAGACACTTCCCCTTGTCTCGTAACCCAAGATATGACGTCCTGAATTTGCTGCGTCATCGCGTACATCTGGGGTACACATGCAGCAGGCTGAGGCTTGATATGGATTGCGAATAGATCTTCCAGGACGGTAGTACAGTGGTTGAATTCACAGCCTTTTGAACCAAATCGAACAATTGTGGAATCAGATCGGTTCTTTTTCTGTCGGGGTCGTATATTTGTCCCTAACCATATCATCAATTCGTACTCCTTAAGTAGGTCAATCAATGTGCTAAAAATCATCGGCCCGTCAAATTGAGTATTCTCCGCCTCTAGGTTCACTTCGGTCTCGACAAACACGGCAAAAAGTAATAAGTCATGGATGATTTGTCTGCTTTGAACTAGGACCTCCCTGGCTCCGTGGGTTATTGCGTTGCGTCCAAATGCCGTGGACTGGAGTTCAGAATCCTTTCCTGGGAAACTCAAAGGCAGTGTATCAATGATAGAGAAAAATGTTTCGTTCGTGAGACCTTTGTATCCAATCGTTTCCTCGATGTTTGCACAGCCAGCTTCAAACAATTCTTCAGTAATGAATTCTGGAAACCCACAGCTGGATTGGAAAGCTTCAACTCTCTCCGCGGCAGAAAGCGAAGGCTCGGCAAAAATTTCATTGTCCAACGCCATCCGGCATGACTCGTTAAGTTGAGCTGGGAAAAGTTTTCGGAATCTCATTGCGAGGTTAGCAAGACTTGCAGATTGGCCAGGATTCTCTCCTAGTTCACGAGGTATATTTCTATGTGGCCAACAAGTTTCCAAAACGTCGATACCATTGCCTAGAGTTTCTCCATCGTTGTGCAACATAAGCTCAGTACTATCACATTCTCGAATAATAGCCGACCCGCCGCTGAATATTAGCCAGGGAAGGTCATTATAGGCATCATAGGCAAGGCTTATGGCTTCTTGTGTTTTCTTGTTAATGTCTTCAACAATTTGCCAGAATTGCTGCCACTTCGCTTCCAGATCTCTGTAGTACTTTGAAAAGTCCATTTCCGTATCTGGGAGCTGCCGTAGGGTGACAGATTGGGTTATTGTTGTGCAGACATCCTGCTGTAGTGACGATGATGTGGAGTTACTGCTTAAGGAGCGAGAGTGCTTTAGTTTCATGGCATCCTGGTAGATTGCCAAAGCAGTCCGGAGAATCTCAGGTGAGTATCTTCCAGGTGCAAAGAGGTACTCGATCCATCTCTCTTGGGTATCTGTCGTATCTGACCGTACGGGGCTTGGAGGCGTATTGTTTCCGGGGAATGTAAACGATGTCATGGTCCAATTGGTGTTCCACACCTTGGCCAGATCGACTAAATCAAAGTGAAGGCTATAAAGTCGGTAAGAGTTATGGCTTTTCCAGAGGACCCAAAGTGCCATATTTCTGCCTTCGTCCATTGACTTGATTTGGAAATCAACCACATTCCAAAATACGCTGCCAGACGGGTCTGGATCTGCAGGCTGAAGTTTTGAATCTGGGAAAAGGTCCTCTATCACCAATTGGCCTGTAATCCCGCCCCCAACAGCCCAGAATTTAAACTGCCCATCATCCTGAGGTGAGTATGTTACAACATAGTACATACTGCCCTCTGACGCCCTCTCCGCTGTGAAGACTCGAATGAATGCGGACTCATCTGGGTTCAAAGCTAGGGGCGTAGTATCCTGGGATTGACTTGTCCGGTTCAACAAGTCCTTTGACCCAACGAGTTTTTGGCTTGCTAGGTTCCAGACTTTTAAGGAGTGGTTCAACCCAACCACGAAGACAAACGCCTGATCTGAGGTTGTTGCAATCGCATTGGGGGTGTTAGGGTCCAGGGATCTGCCATCATATTGAACTGTCTGGTCGCCGCTCCACTTGACGAGTCCGCGTAAAGAAAAGCTCCAGCTCTTTTCATCAAAGGTGACAGGGAACCAATGTGATCCTGAATAAAGTATACAATTAGTGATCCGTTGAGAAGAACAAGAGGGGAAAGAATTGGACATCGTAGTGGAAGCATACCATCATCACCGACTTTCCTTGTCAGACGCAAAAGAGATCCGCTGTCAAGAGAAATAAACAGCTCATAAGGCGAGGCAGCATACAACCGGTGTGGAAACGAGAATCCCAGAGGCGCTGGGCTGCACGTCTTACACCAATCATTGATGTTCTCGTCAATCAACTCTAGCTTCCGGAAGTATTCAGGTCTCATCGTGAATGTGTACAGCTGCTTCGATCTCAGTAGAACAAAAACACTGAGTGATTCATGGCCCTCCACGTCCGCCAGAGCCACGCCATGCGGTACAATGGCATTCTCAAACTCAAGTCGAATAGTAACGTTCGATTCATGATGGTCCTGTGAGCTCTTTGTCAAATCAACAGCTCTGAGTTCAAGACAGGTACTGTCTTCAATAACCCGCCAGAAGAACGATCGAGGGTAGGTTTTGCGCTTGCGGAAGTAGATAGAGCTCTGGGAGGCTAAGTATTGCTTTGCGAACGCGTCTTCGTCCCGTATGGCTGTGTCGCAGGCACTCGAGGCGGTCGTTGCTGAGATTTTGGCTCGTTGCTGAGCTCCATGCGATTTGATGGCGACCGTCACGGCGGGGTGCTGCGTGGTTGGGCCAATATCGACCTTGGTGCCCCTGTGAGTTACCAACATCTTCGTTATAGCGACAGAAAACAGATCTGTCCCATCTGCGAGAAGGCTAGGCGTGGGAGAGACGGTGCTGTGGCATTGCTTCTTGTTGGAGCTTGTTTCTCAAATGTCGATTTTATTATATTTCAAAACTTGAAGATGGAGTTTAGCGCGTAAAATATTATAGGTTGGCCAATACAAACTCTGTATCGACGCCGTATTTATCAAAAAACACCAACAACACAACAATGAAGGCAAATGAACGGTATTAGAATCAATAATATTTACGCTCGTTATTCGTATTTTTATTCTATAATGGCATAATATAGACGGAGGAATCGTAATTAGTATGCATGAGAATAGAGACAAGGAAAGTTCCCCAAACGCCGCAGCTAAATGAGTAGCAAAATCACGTCGAAATTGAGAGGACAGGTCTAGATCAATCATGGTTCCTTCTCTAGATCTTTAGGACTAGGATCCCCGATGCCATCTTCATTAATGGCAAACAGACAGTCACTCTCTGGAAGACACGGGCTGTCGTAGATCTTGCAAATTCGGGTCTCCCCTCTGCCTTTCTTCAAACTCAGTCGCGTGGTACTCGCGTGGGCAATAATGTTACCGCCGATTGGCTTCTTGGGATCAGGATTGAACATTGCGCTTGGTCCACCGTCAACTTGTGCAACAACCTGGTTAGTAATTACAACAGCGACTCCGAATTCATCGGCAAGACGTTGCAGGGTGCGCATGAATCGAGCCAGATGGTTCTGTCTTGACGATAGCTCTCCACGGCCGCTGAAATCCGTCCGGTAGAGCGAGGTGGCAGAATCAACAATGAGAAGGGAGAACCTCGTCTCGCACATCATCTGGGATGCCTGGTTGAGCAATTGAAGCTGGTGGTCGGAGTTGTAGGCACGAGCATAAGCGACGTTGTCTAGCACTTCTTCGCCGACGAGACCATACCGTTGTGCTACGGCCAACAGACGCACGGGTCGAAACGTTCCTTCGGTATCGATATAGAGGCATTTACCCTCACCACCACCCATGTCGAAGGGTAGCTGACAAGTGACAGCTAGGGTATGACATATTTGACTTTTTCCTGTTCGAAATTCGCCAAAGAGTTCTGTAATGGACCCTGTCTCGATGCCGCCGGCAAGAAGGGTGTCAAGCTGCTTGGAGCCAGTAGTTATACATATCAAATCCGCTCGACGAGAGTGCATTTCGGTCGCAGTCGTGAACCCCATAGGCACGATTTTAGCCGCTATAAACCAGTGTCAGTAGATCGATTATGTCGCCAACGCTGAAGGAGAGGAGTATAACCTTCTGTCAGTATCTTTGTAGCCTTTTGTTCTGAAATTCCTTTGATTTGCTCCAACACCCGCTTTGGCCTAGGCAGGGTCAGCCGGTGCTGCAATGAAGACAGTCAAAGCCGTAGCACTTGGACTGGAAAGAAAAGAGAGAGAAGAGAGATAAGGGAGAAATACGTATATGCCACTGCCTCGACGGTATGAAAGCCTCCATCGGTAATCAGTTTGATATCTCGCGCGGTTAGGCCCCCAACGCCCTAAGTGAAATAAGACCCTGTTAGTACCGTCGGAGCGGAAGAGTGGAGGCAGCACAAGAGCATCAATAACCAACCTCGAGGGCAGACAGGGGCGTAGGTGCTCCTGGCCCTGGCAGGCCGTTATCATCCAGCTCGGCCTGCGATGCCTCCTCTGTAGTCATCTTGGTGGGCTATGCGCGCGTCTAGGTACACGTGTCGATCCGCTCCAACAAGGATAGGTTCTGTAGAACTAGACCGAGAAACAGCAATATAAAAAGAATAGACTGGCAAGACAATGAGCCAATGCTACACGGAACAGCAAGCAGAAATGTCGACAGCTCGATAGTGTTGATGAATTTCGATGTTTTTCGATGTTGAAAAGTCAAGACGCGTGTCCACGTGATGTAAATAGCCACAATTAAAACGTCTTTTTAAGGCGGATTTTGCTCGGTTTCTACGGAGTAACGACTTTTTATAACCAGATTAATTATTATTAGAGCAACGGTTGGTGGAAGGCTGGCGGTAGAATAACGGGAAAGGGGGGAAGCCTCCTGAGTAATATTGTAGGAAACTCATATGCAAGAAAAACGCGCCAGTAGAATCAAATCTGTCGTTAGTTATCATCATCACGGCTGTAAGATGAGAGTAGGCTCTGGCAGCATGCATCGCTGCGTCGAAGCCGTCAAAGAGAGTCGGTATCTTTTAAATTCATCTTCTGGACTCAGGCCGAGACAGGCTGTTGTCTCCATGGTCCTCCGAGCTGGCCAGTCTCCGCTACATGGGACCGTCTGTGGGTGTGTAGTGCCTGTAGGTGGTCTTCGTCTCCCACGGGGATATGGCTATTCGACTGGTTTCTCGAGTGGTGTACGGCTTTGGGGGCTGCGTGCAGACCTGTCTGCTCTGTGCCTTCGCCTTCTATCAAATCAAGATGTGTCAATATACCTCTTCTCGCTTCTAGTGACAATAGAGGTTTTGGTTGATGCGTACCAGCTCCGTTAGGGGGCGACGACAGACTCGATTCATATGAGATTCTTGTGCTAGAAGACTCTGAACTGGAATTCTTATCGAGCCCTCTGGCTACGGCAGCCTTCAGTCCATTCGTTGTGAGCAATGTCTCATCCTGTCTGCGCCCCAGGGCAGAACCTCCTCCCCTAGGAGACGGGAGAGCGGCAGCTCCAAGCTCGATATTGGACGGGGTACACGGCCTCGTTGTTTCAGGGGTCGCAGCTGGAATCGGACTCGGTAGGGGAGTGTTGGTCTTAGATACCCAGATACCTTCAATCTCGATTCCACTCTCTAGAGCACGAGATCCAAAGGGTATGAGGTTGAGATCCTTTGTTCCAATATTCGCTTCTTCCTCCGCTTTCTTTATTTTCTCTGCTGCTCCAATCTTTTTTATCCTCCAACTGTTGTACGCATGGACACATGTACCGTACACGAGAACAAGCGCCTGATGTGAAGTGTTAGCAGGGCAGGAGCCTGGAGGGGAAGACAGGCCTATCGGCATTCAAAGCATACAATAAGACCTCCAAGAACCTGTGTCCGCATATTAGCATCTGGATATACACGATGAAGCTGCAAAACGGCGTCTGCATAGACTCACAAAGCACATCTTCTGCCACAGCTCCCAGTCCACCCAGAATCCCATCTTGACTGATAAACGGCAGACGTAAAGCTGTCCGTCTTGTTCATTCAAACATGAAAGAGACGTATCTCCGGCTATCCAGCAGGAAATAAAGCAGCTTCAGGCCGGTCGTAGGGAAGTTGAGTTCTGACTTTTGCCCGCAAGCACTAAGTGGATTTGGTGAATCGTAAGAAAAGGAGAAGCTGGTCGTCGCTGCCTTTGATTTTTGGTATAATTTTGTATGAAGCAAAAAAGAAGAAGAAGAAGAAGAAGATGATGATGATTCAAAGCTCGTCTGTAACTACGAGAGTAGATACTCGGTGTTGCTCTTCTTTACTTCTCTTGTCCAGTTAACTCTAGTTACCGCTGATCTCCACGCAGATGTGGTGGAACAAGGGAACCCGCAGGACGGGAGATATCGAGAACAGGAGAGATGAATAGTGATGACTACGGACGAAGATATATAACTATTCGAGGGAACGTGAAGGTGAACAAGCAGGTAAATATATGCTCCCTGGACAGAGTCGTATCCGCCACTGTAGATGGCCCCGTTTCGTCATTGACTAAATGCAACAACGCAGGCCTAGAGCGCCTGAGTCGGGCGGCGAATGTGAGACACAGCCGGCATGCAAGGTGATATGGGCTATTCGACGGACATATTATGAGAGAGAGGAGACATGTCCGTAGATCAGGGATCTCTCGAAGCGATCGATTCGACCCGAGGGCTGACACCTGGCATGCAGCTTTTATATCGCTGCAGCAGGCTACGCTGATACGCTTCCTACCATTCCTCATTCCTCACACCTACACTACTTACTGCCCCTTACTACTGCAAGACGTCATGCAGAGGAAGAGATCTTGACCCTGAGTTGATCGGAGGCTAGTTTAGCATGCGCCGGCGCCGGCGCCGGCTCGTTCGTATAATCGACTAGTGTAACTACTGCTTGGCTATGACAGCAGCGATTGTTGGCTGGCGATACAGACAGGCACGCACATCTGCCAAATCCTAGGCTCTGCGCCGTATGGCCTGATGCACATCCGTTTAATCGAGACTTGTTCCTAGGCAGATTTGCTAGAGAGAAAGGAACATACATCCACACCGTCCGTTGCCTGTTTGACCCTGCTAGCCATGCCGCCCTTTCGTAACCTGTTTCCCCGACGCCCCCCAGCCGTGAACGTGGAAGAAGCGCCGGGCGAGCCAGGCCAACTGTCTGCAGAGAGAAGCCCGGCAAGAAGTCCACGGCCGTCATTGACGCTCCAGAGGCCAAAAGTTGACGAGCCTCATGAATATAAAATGAGTGGTAAACGCATCTGCCATCTGCGATCCTGATATCCGGACAATCCGGACGTAAGGAGCGTCATCCATAAGTCTGCCATATGGATCGCAGCCCCCTGTCCTTGATTTCTGATCCACAAGCGTGCTCTCCCGGATATGGCTGACAGGTAGTCTCTTTTGCAGTCGTGAATGACAACGGAGTCTATCTTCCGGTATGAGGCTGAATCGCATGCACATACTCTCGTAGTGCTGTATATCCTTACTGATACGACTACAGCCCTCGCCCACTGAGACGAAGAGCTACTGGCAGCGGCCATCGTCTCGAAAAGCCAGCCGGAACCTCGTTGATGAAAATGAGCCCTTCTCAATATCGCGGGAGTCGTTTGATTCGTATCGTCGTTCATTTGTAAGACTCGACCACCATGAACGAAGAGACACTGATCCACGGCTAATCGCTGTACTCCATATAAAACCCCTTCCAGGACATATCCGCTCGGTCCCCCGTGAGCCAGCATTCGGACATAGCTGCATCTCGCACCTCACTGGACTCCCGCCTGTCCCGGACCACCTGTCCCCGTTCATCAATAAACGGTTATTCTCTCGAACCCCCCATAGACAGCAATGGCGTGGACGAGGTAGAAGATCCGTTCGAAGACGTCTCCCTAGCTGACGATTCCAAACCGAAGAAACGGGGGCTGTTCTCTCGCTTTGGTGACTCGCCTGCGTCCCAGCAGACACCGGGAAAGCATAGCTTCCACTTCCCCGGTAGACGACGGGATCAAAGTGGGCAGGGCGCCGAGCTAGCGAGCATAGACCGGGCCAAATAGCTCACACTAACCAGAGCCCAGAATTCTTGTCTATAAATGCTGGTTTGCTATGTTTGACATTAATATTTTTGTATTCATTGGCGTTGAATGAACCCATAGTTGGGCCGCTGGGGCTACTTAGGGGCCGCATCTCCTTCCGGCCTGCTGCTATCTGCCTTTCCCAGCTGCCGAGCTGCCCTCCCTTTGCTGCTTTCCAGGCGCTGGATTCTTCTCTTCTTCTTCTTCTTCTTCTTCTTCTTCCTTGTTTGCTTCTTTTCTTCTTCCTTCTTTTTCCTTGCTTGCATTTTTTTTTAGCCGCAAAAAGCCCAATGTACATATCACGTGATATGCTGTTGCTTAGTCACCTATCAGATCTATGCAAACAGTGCAAACATGAAAAACTTCCCAAAAAAAAAAAAAAAAAAACTCAAAAATAATAAAAAATAAAATAAAATAAAAAGTAGAAAAAAAAGTAAAATAAAAAGATATTATTGAAATTCACTTAAGGAGCTCAACTTTTGGGGGATTTTTGCGACTGGAATATACACGATGGCGGGGGTAAAGCGCAGGACCGATACCACAGAGGCCTCCCTCAGCAAAAGAACCAAGTCGAAGTCGTCGGCGAAGCCGGTCGAAGTGAAGGGCAAGTCCAAGACAAAGGCCGCAAAGGTGGTGGAGGTGGACAGCGATGAGGATATGCTAGATGATGACGACGTTGATGAGGACGACGAGGACGGCGATGAAGAGGATGAAGAAATGGAGGAGGAGGAGGAATTGAGCAATGAGTCTGAGAAAGACGCCGCAAAGGGCAACGGCAATGCCAATGGCAATGCAGAAAACAGTATAAAGCCATCCCCGGTTTCTACAGTCTACAGCTATTACAGATACTAATAACTGGCATAAACAGAAACAAGCACATCCAGAGAGTCCCATGCAAAGCAAAAAGCGCTTGCACAAGAGCGCAAAGCCGCCAGGCCCAATGCCGATGCCATTGCGCGCACAAAGAAGATCTGGGAAAGACTACGGCGGAAATCCCATGTGCCTCGCGAAGAGCGCAAGAAGCTGGTCGCCGAACTATACGGCATCATAACAGGCCGAGTAAAGGACTTTGTTTTCAAGCACGACTCTGTCCGAGTTATCCAGACCGCGCTCAAGTATGCGAACCTGGAGCAGCGCAAGAACATTGCTGTCGAGCTGAAGGGCGACTACCGGAGTTTGGCAGAGAGCAAGTACGCAAAGTTCTTGCTTGGAAAGTTGCTTGTACATGGAGATGCAGAGATCCGGGACCTGATCATACCAGAGTTCTTTGGCCATGTGAAGAGGCTTATCCGGCATCCAGAGGCCTCGTGGATCTTGGACGATATCTACCGAACCGTGGCCACACCGGTGCAGAAGCACAAGCTGCTTCGAGAATGGTACGGGATGGAGTTTACGCTTATGAAAGACGAGATTAGTGATGAGACCCCGTCGCTACCTGAAATCCTGGAGAAAAGTCCTGAGAAGCGTGCGCCCATCCTACAGCATCTCCATGGGATGATAAACCAGCTTATCCAAAAGAAGACTACGGGCTTCACCATGTTGCATGATGCAATGCTGCAGTACTTCCTCAGCACGAAGCCCGGCAGTGAGGAAGCAACCGAGTTCATTGAGCTGCTCAAGGGAGACGAAGAAGGGGACCTAGCTAAGAATTTGGCATTTACCAAATCTGGTGCCAGGCTGATGTGTCTGGCGCTGGCGTACTCGAATGCCAAAGATCGAAAGCTGCTGCTGCGAATGTACCGTGATACAGTGAAGCTGATGTCTGGAGACGTCCACGGCCACACTGTGCTCTTGGTCGCGTACGAGGTTGTGGATGATACCAAGTTGACTCAGAAGCTACTGCTGTCGGAGCTGCTTACCCAGGACGACCTGGTACCGCGGGCCAACGACCAGCTGGCTCGCATTCCCATTCTCTATTCGTTTGCCGGCAAGAAGAACGGGTGGCTGATTACAGATACAGACCGCCAGATCCTCGATGAAGTGTGTGAGATTCGATCACAGACATCCAAGAAGGATCCCGAGATCCGTCAACGAGAGCTTGTCAGTGCGGCCTCTCCGGCTCTGCTCGAATGCATTGCCAACAACGCTGCTGCCCTGGCCGAGACCAGCTTTGGAGCCCGGTTTATCACCGAGGTCCTTTTCGACAGCACCGGTGACAAAACAGCTGCTCTCGAGGCTGTGGCGGGCCTGGCAGAGGCAGAGGGCGATGTCCTCAAGTCACCCAACGCCGGCCGGATGCTCAAGGCCCTCGTCCAGGGAGGACGGTTCAACAATGCTACCAAGAAGGTAGAGCCCGTCCAGCCTCCGCTCAACTTTGCGTGCCTTCTCTACAAGCACATCAAGGATAACGTGCAGTCGTGGGCCACCGAGTGGAATCCCTTTGTCGTTGTTGCCCTGCTGGAGTCCGAGGAGTTTGACAAGCAAGACGAGCTGGCCGCTACCCTGAAGAAGAGCAAGAAGCAGCTAACAGAGCTGGCGAGCAAGCCCAGGGGAGACGGAGAGGAGAAACGAGACCCTGCCAGCAGCGCTGCAAAGCTGCTCCTTGAGAAAATTGCCTGAATAGTGAACAAACCACCGCTGTCATGCCGTGCTCCAATAATAATATATGCCCCTGCTCTGTCATACATACCCTTGGGGCAGCAACTGATACAACAACAACAACGACCACCACCACCACCACCACCACAAACAGCCTCTCTCCCCTTTGAAGCTCGCCGGCGCTTTTCTCTCTCTTTTTCTCTCTCTCCCTTTCCATCCATCCCTTGGCCGCCCCAGGCTGACCCAGGGGCATCCATACACACTCTCGTGTGCGCCTCCACAAAAAGCAAAAAAGGGGCAAGGAAAAAGAAATAACACTGTAGAAAATATTACGAAAAATAATGGACAAAGGAAATTAAAGCACACACAAACCGATCGAGAGAATCGCAGGGGGAAGGCAAAAAGCGCATCCCGTAGACGTCATGCCTTGTCAGTTCTTCTCGTCTGCCGTCTCGTCGTCCCTGGGGTGTTTGTTTGTATATACAGAGTACGGAGTAGAGCAGCAAAAGAGCCCAACGCCACCGCATGGAGAGCAAATATAGACAGTCAACTAATAATAAATCGAATAGTCCACCGGGCCATGGAGCAAACTAAGCCCTACTACCTCCGTGCTTCTTCTTATTCTTCTTCCTCTGCTGCCGCGATCTCCTCTGCGTCCTTTTCCCTGTCCTTAACAACCAAGAGAACCGGATCTCCTGCCGCTGGTCCTTGCTATCCCGGCCGTCCCGTCCATTCACATCGTCGATATACGAGATCTCTCCTTTTTCTCTCTCTCTCCCTCTCTCTCTCTCTCTCGCCTGCTTTTCTTGTCTGCTGTCTCTGTTCTTCTTCCTCATAAAAATAAACCTGCTGTGGCGAACAAACAAGCTGCGGCCTCCCTGTCCCCATAACTATAGCGATCAATCTATATCACCAACTCCCGGCCCCCTGGCTCGACGGAGAATAAAACAGAAAACGCACCTCCAGCAAGACGCTGCGTAGTATTATACCGCCCATCACCACCGCTCATCTGGCTCCTTTTCGCCCTCTGCCGGCCGTCTAACACCGTCTAGCTTCCGGTCCCCGGCTGTGCCTGGAGCGCCGCGCAGAAAAGCTACCAGAAAAACGCAGCCCCTACCAAACTGCTAGATACATATATATATATATACACGCATTGCAGAGACAGGCCTCTATAGATCTCGACCAGCTCGCGGCAGCGCAGCGAAGCATGCGCCGTTGACGAGACGCAGCAAAGCCATGCCGAATACCGTCCTCTCTAGCATGGCTCCGGCTGCCCATAGTAGCGACAAGTTGTCCCTGAACCGATCGATGCTGGCTCCCTCGCCCACGCTGACGAACCCGGACATGATACTCCCTTACGGCGAAGAGCGCGAGTCCTCGACCCCTTCGCCGGCCCTCGAGGACCTGCAGCGGGCGGCGGAGCAGTCCAGGCTGCTCGCCAGCAGCTACTCGCTCATGCACCAGCGCAGCACCTCCGTCTCGACCACCACCTCCTACGACCGAAACTCCTCCGGGCCCGACGAGCCTATACAATCCTACGCAGCATACGGCACGGCAGAAGGGTCACCGCAAGCGATGGCCGCCCCCGGTGCCGGTGCCGGTGCCGGTGCGAGTGCGAGTGCGAATGCTGGTACGAATGCGGGTGCTGGTGCTGTGAACGAGCCTATGCGATCATCCCAGATGTCGGATATAGATCATACGATAAGGACCCATTCCAGACGGCAGAGCAGAGCCAGCAGCACCAACAGCCTCGACAGTCTTGTAGATCCCTCTGGTTCTGCTGGGCTCGGTGCGAGCAATTGCATGTCCAAGCGGCATTCGAAACTCAGGGAGCTGCAGGATCTGCCGTCCGGGCTCTTTGAGCAGGATAAAGCGCATCCAGACGACGAAGGGGCGGGCGTGCTTGGAGGCGCAGACGACCTGAGTGCTGTTGTCTTTGAGCCGGAGCACCGCATTCTCCCCATGGGTGCAATCGCAGAGGAGGATGAAGATGGCGAGGAGAAGACCGAGAGCTCTGACAGGGGTGACAGAGTCTACGATGAGCTCGACGAGCTGACCTCTATGCTGGAGAACGCAAAGCTGAAGCTGACGGTATGTTGATATATACCCGTTGATTTTCCCCCTACATATACTGGTATTCTAACATTGACATCTACCAGCATATGGAAGGCAACCTGAACCGCGCGAGGAGCTCGTTTCGCATGACGCCGTCGCCTTCGCCATCTCTGAATCGGGCTTTTGGCAGCGCCGGAAGCTCGTACCATAAGCATCTCCAAAGGGGGGAGAGGCGCTCCCAGACATCTCTGGCAGGCGCATTGCTACGCCAAAGGGCCCATCAGGGGTATACCGGCAATGCATCTCATCTTCGTGGACAGAGTGACCTCTGCTCTCCATCACAATCGTCTTTCAACCGGCTATCGGGGGTGAACGGACAATTTAGATCGTTCAGTGCCCTGGGTTCAACCAGTGCCTCTGAGTATAGGACTGGATTCTATTCCCACGTAGAGGGGGAAGAACAAGACGATGACAAGGAACCAACTACCGAAGCCAGCACATTAGTCCCTGAAGCTACCCCCGACAGGTCCAGGTCACTGACTCCCTCTTCACAGTCGGCCCCTATACCCAATGGGCAGTCAAGAACGTCACCTCTTCCCAGTGGTGATGTCAAGAGCTCGCCTTCATCCTCAAAATCTCTACCCTTGATCAACAAACCTGATTCCTGCAGCCAGTCAACAACCCCTCCATCTCCCGCAAGTGCGCATCTTCAAATGCGTGGTCTACAGGGCCAAGTAGACGGGCTAAGATCAAAGCTTTCCACGCTCAAAGAAAGGACTCAAGAGGAATCAATACGCAGACGTAGCCAGCAAAGCCTACGCACACCAAGTCCGTTCACTGTAGCGGATGAGAACTACACCAATCCTCTCGAATATCAGAGGCGGTCCTCATACCCAGAAACTCTTGCTACTCCTGATTACAACAAGCCACAGTCTCCTCCCCCTGCGCTCCATGAAGAGTCGCATAATACTGCATGCACATCATCTCCAACTCTGCCCCACGAGGAAAACCAACAGGATGATTTGGAAGATAAGGAAGATTCCATAGAATTCACCGAGGACACCGTATCCAATCCCATACAAGGCACTGCTGAAAGTCCCATCGAGGGTCCTGTCGAGGAGCCTGTTGAGGGACCTATTGAAGAGCCAATCGAGGAACCCATCCAGGGCCCTGCTCCTCAAACCCCAGCTGGCAATGATACTAGGAAGATAATTGAAGAAACAGATGAAAGCGAGTCCGAATACTTTGAATATTCGGATAACGAATCTGAACCATCTGAAATTGACAGACAAGAACTTGAAGAGATACTGCGAGAACCAATGGGCAGCCCAACTGAATCAGTGTACCAGGACATCCTAGAAGAATTCCCTTCTGTTCCACCAGTCCAGGAGACAATCCGTCACGAGGACCGTATCGATGCCTTTGATTACGAGCATTTCATCCTTCACAGTGCGCTCGGAACATATTCGGGACGATTGAACCGCTCGGGTAGTATCTGTTCTTCTGGATCAACTGAAACCACACGCCCGGATGGCCGTGAAACACCAAAGAACGGGTCAGGGTCGGCTCTCTCAAGGGTAACTAGCAGCGACTCGATTTCGACAGATGCCACCTTTGCTACCGCAACTGAGGGAGACTATGGATACCACGATGCTCTGACTTCGCCCAATGGCAATGGAATCTACTGGGGAAGAAACCGACCTTCAAGTAAGATTCCTTTTTTCTTTTTTTTTTTCTTTTAAATTATCATTTTTACCAGCTTTCCGTACTAACATTCGTCACCACAGACAGACTATCCCGTCAATTCACGGACGATTCCTTGACCCTTCCCACCCAACAATATTACGATAGTACATCAACCTTTTCCCGCACCCAGTCAGCCTCATCAACACCTCGTGCCTCTATATCATCCGTCACTGCCGCGAAGGATGAAAACGCCGCATTATTAGCCTCCATCTCCGAACTCAAGAAGGCCGCGGCTACTCCTCAGACTCCAGGCCTCCTTGTTAGATCTATCCTCTCCTCAGCTGCCAACGAGAAGGCCAGCGACGCCTCTGCACTATATTCTCCCCAGAACGGCAGTCTATGCGATGCCGATTCTAAACTTGTAGAAGCAGTCATCCAAAGTCTTGGAAATGTGAGCCTTGAGCTCCTTCGAGCTTCAACGGCCGACCTTCAATCTCCCATCGATAACCGGATTGCCACCATTCTACGGCGCAGACTAGATGCTGCCCGGAGGATATTGGATGGTGTTGCACCATTAGAAACCGGCCTCTAAACCCATTTATTTCTCATGCCATTTTTTTTCTGGATATCCCACTATTAAACACATAATTTCATTTTCTCTTCGGCCTGGCTGAACGATTTTCATTTGTTACCTATAATACCACAAAGATTTCATTGCTGCGTTTACTTCGTTGATATATCTGCTAGCTATTATATCCCCTGCTCTCTGGATATCTGGTTTATTTTATATCATTTTGTATGGTTTAGCTATTTTCTGGAAGGAAAACTTATATAAAGGCTCTCCTTTGGTATCACTACCTCTATGGTTGGCCATCCCTTTTCCTCACTCCTTTCTCCCAGCATCCAGTTAAAAAAATATATTGTACATGAACCCTCAGAAACAAACCCCTGCATAGAAATATGAATACATCCGGCCTTGGGAAGCTAATTTTCCATGCAACTTGAGCCATCGAGCGTATCGCGAAAGGATTAGAATTAAAATGAATAATAGTAGTAATAGTAGAAGAAGGGCAATCATTGGCTGTAACGGTCGTATCACGAGGCTTCAAGTATGTACCGAGAAGCTTGCATCATCAATCGTAACGAGGGAGATCAGAGAATAAACATGAATCGGCGTTACTCATTCGAAAATTTGGCAGAGAGAACCACCATCGATGAGTACTTCAGATCAAGGGAGCGGGAATTATTGGCATCGAACTCGGCTGCTTGACGAGCATGCAAGTATTGATCTAGAAATTCATTATTGGTAAGTGCTTTACCTTAAGATGTCATAAACTTGAGGGAATCATACAGTCGACCCCAATACTATCAAACCAACGATAGACATCCTTATCGCTAATATCCCTGGCTCTGATAGCACCCGTAGACGAGATGACAAAGGCGGGGGCCAACGACCTCATCTTCAGATGCTGAGAGACTACACCAGCGAATGTTTCGATCTGAGAGGCAAAGCACGAAGGCTGTCGTTCCAGCGGCCACTGTTTCTTCATTAGCGCACTAGTATTAGCAGTGGTGCTGGATAAACCTCACCCGTTGAATATAATGCTCGCATTCCCATGATCGAAATAGCCATTCCATCCTCTCAACACAGTTAAGCAGGATAATAGTGGCCAGAAACGTTCGAAAACTACCAACCCGCTGCTTCTGAAGTAGCCGTTGTTCAAATTTACTGAGCAAAACTCTGCACACTCTCGCTGCTCGTTTCTCGACGGCAGAGCGTAATTGCGTGCAAATCAGCGAGTATGATTCTAACTGATTCATGCTGTGTATCGGGATCCGGGAGTCGTTTGTTGTAGAGGTCAGCGGCCTGTTTGCCAGCGGAGGCAGAGTAGGGTTCATATAGACCGTCCATTTAAGGAACGGGTCCACTAGTATTGCAGTAGCTACCCATAACTCCAACGCTGCGTCTAGCATATCATCCTAGTTTCAGATGTTAATAGCCATCATGAGATATATATAGGCGTAAGAAGCACGGGGAGAAGAGCATGCCTCGTGTTGTTTGGCGAGTTCTAATGCTTGACGAAGGGTCTGTCTGATAAAATCAGATTGTTCGCCCTCAATGAATAAACTGGATGTCTTCTGGATATACACATCAAGCTTGCCGCTCAGCTCTTCGATCTCGCCATCTAGAATATGTACGTAGTGAGATGACCCTTCTAGTATAGAATCAGCGGAAGAGGTAGGAAGCTGGTTATCAATTTCTTGACCGGCCTGCCGTTGACCAAATAGGGCAGAAAATGTAAGAAAGCTTAGCGAGTCTAGTTCGAAGTGCATGACCTCGATCCGACCGGCTGAAGGCTCAAACTGTATCTCACCCTTTATACTTTGGACATCATGATAGGCCATTGTTGAGTGCAATCCTATTGCTCAGTTGGTATGGATATATATTAAGCCCATACAGGGAGTCTACTTACCTATTGAATAGGATTCTAATTGGTTCATAAGGCGAGTTCTGATGCAACACTCCATCCAAACGCGTGGATTCTGAAGATTCCGGCACTGGCCACAAGGTGTTCCGGCTGAGCACTGACGTTGTGACAAACGTTAATATACCGTAATTGTACGTTAGAGAGTTACGATTAAGGTATTCACCCACCGTTTTCTTCAGCATCCGGCATCGGAGACAGGCCCCCATCTTTCTCACTACCCTAACTTCCTTCCTCCTCTCTTCAGAGAAAGTCGACCGTTTTTTATTCGATTTCTTGGTGTCTACAACTTCACAGAAGAAGTCACTATTAGACTGTTGAACTTCGGGGTTCGTGGTAAGGGGTCGAAGGTATGTTCCGGGCCGTTCATTGGAAGCGGGAGGCATACTCAGTTCAGCAGGAATATGATTTTGGATCATCATTTCGTCTGAAGTTGGCAGTTCAATGGTAGGCGAAAGGCCAATGGTAGCCTGTGGGGGTGCGGTCTGGGGTGGAAGCTGCCACGCATCCGACTTTTGGTGGCACATGGCTGCCGATTCCAAAGAGCTAGAACGGTCATCCGTTACCATCTCGTTTGCGGATGCAGCGATCAATGAAAGCTGAGACGAGTGGTGGTCCGGGTGCGTGTCCACCGAGAGCAGGGAATGCACGGCAGGCATTGGAAGAGGCGACGTAGCATCCACAGAGGATGTTGAGAAAAAGGGAGCGGTTGGTGACGATGTGTGAATAAACTGAGCGTGTAATTCAGCTTCTAAATGGATATGTTAGCACATAGGTCTAAAGTAACAGTATAAGTGGCGGTTATCATACCAAGACTGAACTTAGACGAGTTCTCGAGAGCAGGATCAACCACCATGTCGCGCTCAGCAGCGCTGAGTTCCAGTATCCGATCCTGTATGTGTCCTTCGTTTGAGGCACCAACTCTCCTTGACGCCTCGGCAAGCACATTAAGGCCATTTAAACTGGGGCCATTCTGGAAGTTTGCAGCGCGTTTCCCACGAGCTTGATCACTCATTGCCGCAGTATGTGAGCTAGGAACAGACTGGCTATGACGTACAGCACCTTTATCTCGATATCGGTTCGCGGCTGCCCCAGACAAGTAGGCCACCCGATCTCTGTCCGCCGTGGATATTGCCGGACATATCTTCGTGATATGGTTGATTAGAGTATCCGGACGGCCTTTGAGGAACTTCTCCCCACAGAGCTTACACGTATGCTCATATCTGTTGCTAGAGTCTGGCAGCTTCTCACCACGGTGGAAGAACTCGGTGATAAGCGTGTTTGGCTTGCGGCCCATGGTGGCAGAGAAAGAAGCCAGTCATTAAAAGGTCAAATCAAGTCTCAGCGGTACGAGCTTGCTATATCATCATTTAGGAAAGGAGAGAAGCCCAGGCGCGTCTTTGGGAGGAACCCATAGTCTCTCTCTGGGGAGATATCAATATACAGAAGAATAGCTACTACCGGGGTACAAAGTAGCTGGCAGGATAGAACACAGGGTAACTTTGGCGAGAAAATTAAAGATGAAGCAACAATTCTATTGCATGGCAAACACCAGGCCCGAGTCAGCGGCTCCTGGTAGAGCGCGGTGTGCTCTCTCTCCTGCTGCTCTGCTTCCGGTCGCCTTAATCGCTGCGCTGCGCCGTGTTGTTCTTCGACTTCAGCTTTTTGATATCTTTGAGATGGCAAAATCAAGCTCTCTGGAGGCGGTGTGTTTTCTGACACTCTCCGCCGCCTTTTCTAACCCCTTTAGGAGCGGGAAAATATTTATCCGTGGATCAATCTCAACGTCACCTGAGATTTCGGCGTCTATGCAAATACAACAAAATACATACATAGGAGACGAGGCAGAAACAGACAAGAACTCAGCAAACTCGGTGCTCTGGTGGCCTCCAGGGCACTGCAAGGAGCTCGAAGATTCGCTTCTCGTCCCGGCTTTCCAGGAGATGGCCGGCATTCAGTTTCACCCGGCCTGGACCCCGCATAATATCTGAGAAGAGACCCCTCTGGTTTAAACACATACCCTTCTTGCTTGCCAGCAACCGTAGGCTCCGGTTGAATATATCATTGCCCGTGAAGTAAATTAGTGCAGCACCGAGTTCGTCACCGGGTACAAATAGCAGGTCTATACGGCGCCATACAGGGTTCCCAGGAAGTGCCGAAGCACCATGCCATTTTGACCCATCTATTTGTGAGGATACGGCAAGTCCCGTCTTTAGGAATCTGCGTTCAAATAGCTGGGGAACGACAACGGTCATGATCTGGTCATGTATCTCTTGCAGACTTACTCCTTCCTTGGTTATAATGAGATCGATGTCTCCGCTGTCAGCACCTCCGCGTCTGTAGGAGCCACCAATAATGACGGTATAGGAGCTATCCATGGCTAAAACAGCCTCCCGTACAATAGCGCAATGTGCCTCGACTTCTTCTCGAGGTATCCGTTTCTGAAAGTCATCATACCGTTCAATCCCAATCTTTTGGTTAGTAGTTAGATTAGCTCGGTTCTTCAAATCGTCCAAGGATTTATACCCCTGTGCGACCCATTTGGAAGCTTGCTGATATCCAACACCATATATGTTGAGAAATTGGGAGAGCAAAGCATCTCTTGGTTCCATGTTCGCTTGTTCTAGCCGCCGGAGCCGATTAGTCCATACAATTTCCTCGATTTTAGCCGCCAGGCGTTCACCTATTCCTTTTATCTTCAAAGCCTGGCTTTTTGACACTACTTTATTACGTTCCCTGCGTAGAGCAGCAATTGCACGCCGATATGCAAGACACCGCCATTGGTCGGCGGTTCGTTCATAGTAGCTAAGCATTTGTTGCAAGACATCGATTGTGCGAGAGTTGGGATTATCCGCACGGTCTTTGCCATCCATTTTGTTCATGCAGGTGAATGATTTCTGCCATGCAGGACAGTCTGTTGTGAGACCAGATTGAAATTCCCCAGGGACAATTTCATCATCTTCCTCATCAGAGGAATCCAGGGGCTGACTATATGTTAGTTGATTAATTGGGCTATTTTAGCGGTCATGTTGACTCACGAGAGCAGCTATATTTTTTATATGTCTGATTGCTAGATCTAGGTGATCTGGGTCAGATGCTTGCATACCATCCTGGTCAGCCGTGTCTTTGGCTGGAAAATGGGGAAGATGCCCTGGAGGTACTGGAACCGCTTCTTCAGTGGACTTGGTACCAGCCTTTTTGGAGTCGGTACCTCGACTGGAATTTGTAGGAATGCAATCATGTCGTGGTTCACCACTAGGTATTACCTGTGGCTCAGGCAGCAACTTCCGTTTAATTTGGAAGCGAGGGCTAGAAGCATCCAATATTCTCCGGTTCATGATGCATTCTGATGGGTAGTTCTCATTTACTAGGATAATATTGACCTAGACAAGAGCGTCAGGTAACCAAGGATTGCCATGGTTCCACCCGGGAGGCTTACTGGGACAGAGGACACTTGGAGATACTCAACCACGTCCTCGTAATTAAGCCGCCTTTCCGCAACTATATGTGTGACGGAGGAATCGAACTTTGTCGCACGGGTTGCGCCAAATTCAAGGACCCTTGAAATGCGAATTCGTCTAGCCTGTGATATGTCATCATTAGGTATGAAATCTGCCAGCTGATTAGCGTTCTCTTCCAGTTCACATTCCCGTGGGGATTTTACTGTTTGCCTTACAAAGTACAAGGCCGTTGAGAACTGAAGGATGATCGTTCACAGAATTAATGGATTCCTTGATCTTCTTTCGCATGCCATCCCTAGCCAACTTCGGCTTCTTATTAGGCTTTATTGAACGATCATGGTCTGGTATCCCCACTGTCTCTCTTTCAGAGGCTTCCCGTGGTAATACTTTCTCTGAGATCGCATTCGGGTCCTTAGTTCTGTTGCTAACTTCTCTTCGACGGCGGTTTCGTAACGTAGATAGAACACAATCATCATCCTGATCCTCCTTATTAGAAGCGTAAAGCTCTCCACAGAAAGTTTCCTTGTCCATGGGTATAGATATATAGGAGTGTCATTATGCCCGATCAAATAAAATGACCGCTGTGGCTTTAAATATATATACCTTCTCTCTCGCTAGGCCCCCTTGCCCCAACCGTGAACCGTGGTTCCAGGCAGCAAGATCGACTCTTGATACCGTTAGTTAGCCAACCACGTGATGGCTTGTTGCAAGTTGCGGCCGTTGAGCTTCAGGGTTTGCTACAAAGCGCATACATAACCAGCAGAGCAAACAAATGAGCAAGGAAGCAACCGTCGGTGCAGTGAGGAGAGTGTTTCTTATTTGATTCTTGCTTAGATGGTCATTGTGAGCCCCAAAGCTCTGCTAGAACGCAGAATCGTTCACTCTAAGAGCATCTAGATCTTCTCGCTTCTTTGGAAATGGCCCGACACCAGGCATTATCCTCACTATGTGAGATCGGCTTGTTTCGCCGGGGCTGCTATAGCACCAAGAGTCTCTCATCCTACCGTCAATTCAGCTCATCAAACCAATGGCGGCAACAGCAGACACAACCGCAACGACAGCTGCAATCCCGACAATTGAATATTCCGCCAGCAATTGAACAGAACCCTGTGGCCTTAAACAAGCACGAGGTTAAGCAATTTACACCAAAGCCCTTAAAACGACCGCTAGGGTTACAGTATGCTCCCGAAGAAGGCCAGAATACCGGTGTTGACACAAGAACATTGCGACAGCGTGGAGGAGACCTTGTGGACAAGGAGAAATACCAACAACGACAGTCAGAACTGTAAGGGAGCGAACATTTCGAACATATATATATATATATATATATATATATATATATTTTTCAGGAATTTATATGCTGACCAAATACAGGATAAAAGAATATAGCAAGCCATACTACCGGGAATGGCACCGAATGAACTACCACAGCGGAAAGGTATTCGTCTGCAACCCCCGGTTATTTAAAGAGGATTTTTCTCTATATTTTCCCAACCTGTTTGGCCGAACTCTTCTACGATCCAACCCAATGCAACATACGACGCCAGTTCTTCGTGGCAAGATATCCCTTGTTCGAGTTTTTGCTAGCCTGTGGGCGGAGAGCCAAACTATTACGTTCGTTGGTGAAAAGGAAAACCCAGAACTACAGAAGATAATCGCCGATGCGGGCCCCTTAGTCCAGAAGGTTGATATCAACAATGAAGATAACTGGCTCAAGGCACTCCTTGTACGGTTATTCATGGGCAGTATGCGACGAAAGATGCCAAGTGAGCAACATGGGCGGTACTTTTTGGTCAGGAAGGGGTTTACAAACTACCTGAAAGATCAAATAGGAATGCTTAACGGGAAAGTTGGTTATGTTTATCTTTTGGATGAGAATTGTAAGATCAGATGGGCTGGATGTAGTATCGCCGGGGCCGAGGAGTTAGAGTCCTTGAACAGGGGCTTGCAAAAGCTGGTAAGTGACAAGCTTGCAAACCAGGAAATTCCGAGGATCATCTCAGCAACAGAAATACAAAAAGCCGCTGAAACGGCTTAAAGCGAAAATTTCATTTTAAGATATTGTACGATATTGTATATAGACATTAGCCACCGTGTATAGCAGCAGCGGAAACTTGGGACATCAAAAATAGGAGACAAAGAGCGAAAAAAAAGCATATCAATCATACCAAATCTCAACGCCTGCTAAACTCATGCCCTGGAAACGCCGCACGCCGCATCAAATTATACACAGGTCGAGGTATAGCGATCAATCACCTGAAGAAAAACACCATTAAACAACAGATTCCGATAAAAGTGCCTAAGATGATCCCGTCCCGTCTTCTCTTGGCACTGATTTTGTTGATTAGATTATTGACACCGGGTATCTGGCTGGCCGCACCAACAATGCGACGATTGATGCTGGCTAGAGTTTCTCGCTGAAACCCAAAGCTCTCATTGACGGCGTAAGCTTGGCTCAGGACACTGTCCATCATGTTGTGACTGTTGTCGAGACGCCCTCTCTCCTCGAGCATGTAATCAGCCTCTGCTCCAGCAGGGTTAGATGCCCGGTACGCATCTATGTCTGATCGAACATTCGAAAGCAGGTTCACACGGTCTCGGGTATCTGATATAGTCGCCTTCAGACGCTTGAGTTCTTGGCGGTGTTCAAGGAGGACTTCCCGGTGGCGGGAGAGGTTGTTCTGTTTCAATGCAGAGGCAGTCAAGGGGGTTTCGGAGTCGAGCAAACGGGAGAGTTGTGATATAAGGGTGTCTCGCTAGAACGGCGCAAGTATAATTAGTCCACGGTCAATTAGCAGAGCGAGCGCGGGATATCTGTGACGTACCCTGCTCAGAATATCCTGTATCTGGGCTTCCAGCCTAATCTCATCCTCCGATGGTTTTGACGGGAGCTGGCTCATGGAAGCATATTGGGCGTACGAATGGAATAGAGTCTCTGTCTAAAGCATACAGCATTAGCAAACTTCCAATGTCCCAGTACCAATGTATATATATGTTGCTGCCTATGATTTAACTATACCTGAGTCTCAAGAGACCGGGCCTGTTGCCGGAGCTGTGCCCACCCCGTCCCAGTCGAGGTCGTCATGGTGTCTCACGGACAATATTATATATCAAGTCAGACCAGCTATCACCCAACAGTCACATATCAGATACCGTTGCCTGCACACTGTGTCTTGTCGTTGCTAGTTTGTCATATCTTCTTCGCCGTCCTCATCTCCATCTTCGATCGCCAAAAGATGACCTAATCATGCCTTGGCAAATATTTCCACGTGATTACTTATATAATCCCGCTTAGAGAATTGCGAAAAGGGAAAAAAGCCCTAAAGCCCCACAAGTTCGACATTTCACGACGAAAAACTTCGACATTCCGTTTCTTCAAGGTCGGCATCAACATCGACAACATCTCAACCAGTCATCATGGTACGTTTAAAAACGGCGAAAGAAGGGTATCCTATTGCGAATTGAGGTATCAGTGCTGACCTCTGTTTTTTCCGTTTAGTCGTCCGCCAAAGTCAAGACCAGCCAGCTCTGGAACAAGAGCAAAGACGACCTCACGAAGCAGCTCGATGAGCTGAAGACTGAGTTGGGCCAGCTCCGTGTCCAGAAGATCGCTGGGGGTTCCTCTTCGAAACTCACCAGAATGTATGATGCTACATCCAGTCCTTGCAAATAATTTTTGCTTTTGAGGAGAATTTTGAGTCCGGAAACGAAAGGAGCGGGAAATATAGCAATACACCGGAGAAGAAATTCTGGAAGAACATGGGATTGCGATTCAGATTCCAGAATGACAGGCTGACATGGACGGGTTTTGATTTGAATAGTCACGATCTCCGCAAGTCTATTGCAAAGGTCCTCACAGTCATCAACGCCAACCAGCGCTCACAACTCCGCCTCTTCTACAAGAACAAGAAATACCTCCCACTTGACCTCAGAGCAAAGAAGACCCGCGCCATCCGACGACGACTCACCACACACCAGGCCTCCCTCAAGACTGAGAAGCAGAAAAAGAAGGATATGCACTTCCCTCAGAGGAAATATGCCGTCAAGGTATGCCCCCGCCGCAAACGACACTCGTTGACAATTAAGTAGCCGGAGAGCAATGGAGATACTAACAGCGCTTTGAACTCAGGCATAAACGTTTCATTATTTCCCTCTGGTTCAAAGTTTCAAAAAGCGGCGCATTTTCCTCTCCGTTTGAGCTTGCTGCGTCTTTTATGAATAGCTGTGGATGTATCAATAGAAGATGCAATGACGCGGCAATTATGAAAAATGGAAAAATAATTCATTGAACTTCAGCTCTTCCAATGATTCCCTCCCTTCGACGTACTTCTCGATTTTAATATTGCTGAGAAGGTGCACGCTTTTCTTACGTGGGCGAACTGGCTACTCGGACGTGGTTCATATTAGGTGCCAATGGGCTTTGATAGGATCATCTACTATTCAGGAAATGACAAAAAGAGGTGCTATTATCGAGCCCTAACCCATTGACTACTAATCTGGTATTGACGAAGGAGCTAAGTCACCGCACCAATGCTGCCTGTAAACGATACTCGTAAGGAATAATAGATGTTACAATAACGTCGCGCTAGATCGTACATGATTACCCCGGCTGTCTCCATCCAGGCAAAGTAGTAGAGCCTCTTAGGTTGCTAGCATTGCTCATAGACCACATTCCACCACAAGTACAGGCTCGGAGAACAGCGGTTCTCATCAGCATCTTCACGGCTGCCATAGACTTCGGTGGAATTTCCTCTGATATTGCACAGCATCGAACACACCTTCGGCTTGGCCGTACAGCACCCCTGGATTCATCTAGAGGTATTAACACTTTTCGAAGAATATCGATTTCGTACTTGTGTCTGAATAGATCCGCTCTCTTGTCGTCACCAACACCCAGCCAGCTGTAGTCTTGTAAAAACAAATACATGGGGTTGGCTTCATTCCGTATCATGGGAACCGTCTTGGTAAGGATTGCAGTCACCGCAGGCTGTAAAACGGGTGGTATACTGCCATTGATAAGTAGGTCTCGCTCAGGGGCTGCGCGGTCTGCGTTGTTGAAACCCGCGTTTTGATAGGCATGTTTAACATCAGATTCAACAGTTGCAAGAAGCTTCTCATATACATCTACTTTCAGAGCAGATTCTGTGATCACTGTCACTATTTGAGAATAGATTTGATAGGATTCATTGCTCAGATTCATTGCATTCCTGAATCCATTAGTGAGGCCACGGAGACCGCGGCATATATATCTGAGGAATGAGCGTGGAATGCTTGAGATAATGAGGATTGTCGAGAGTGACTCATATAATTTCCCTTGGAACGAGTCCTGCGTCAGAGTACTGTAAAACATGAACTGGCAGCAGTTTACTTACCTGATGATGACCCTGAATCTTGGCTGCTAGACTGGCTGTTTAGATTATCAGAAATCTCGAATAGGTCATCGACAATGTATTTAGCCAAGTCGAGAGCCCACTTCACATTTCCCAATGTTATTCGTAATGTTTCTATTCTTTAATTAGCACATACGTCTGTAATCATGTAGCTCGCCATTAAACATACCAGGATCATAACACTCAACATCAGCACCAGCTTTATTGAAATGTAGTATATAGGTGAGTAGGATGGATATTTGTCGAAGCTGTAGAGTCAGCCATGGAACAGCAGCTGCAAGGTTACGGCGCTCAAGTCGGTTCTTAAACCCAAGTGCAGCCTGCATACTGAAGCATTTCAGGATATATGGGTTATTCATGAGCTTGTCTTGCTCGACAGTAACGTTCATTGACAAAGCTCGATATACTTCATCTATGAATTTCTTGTGAGAATCTATAGTCCTTAAAATTAGCAACATGTTCTAAAAGGCGAGTAGATATGCAGGATTTACCTTGGTTGAGCTGCTGAATAACAATCATTAGTATATCATCATTATTACTGTCGCTGCTGCAAGCTCTGCAATAAGCCATGGTGAGAGCAGCCAGTGCACTCATGAATTTTCCTTCAACCCCATTAGCTTCTCGGTAAATATCTTTGGGTATTCCATGCAGCACGCACCATCATTAAACAAACCATCTTGCTCAAGACCAAAAGAATGCTCCATCACACGCATCTGGACATGTGATTTTTCATCAAGAGATGCTGCAATGCAGCCACTTGGTGAAAATGAAATATGAACACCTTGCATTGATGTTAGCAATACCATTCAAACGTAAAATCAACCAAGGGCAGCTATATCATACTCGGAGAAATTGCAGCAGGAAAGGTAAAGCCAGATTGTGGCAGGCTTGTAACAGTTTCGATATCCTCAACGCCAGATAAAGGAGTAAAGGCCTTTGCGTCATAAAATGCTATATTGCCATCATCGGTGGTAATAGCAAAGATATTCCCGGTCTCCATGTAGTCAATGGAAACTATATGTCTGTCAAAATATGTATCCGCCTGTCTATTCAGCTCGGTACTTGGCTGAAAGGGAATATAATTGTCAGCTGAATCAATAGGCAACTGGAGTACCCGCATAGACCTACCAGAAGTGGATTTCGAGGCTTTTTCGATACTATATCATCAAAACTCTTGTGAAGATTTTGGTTGACCGAACGAAGCTCCCACCTAGCAATGACACTGGGATGTTGTAGGTGAGACCGCCCGTGGATATTGTGTAATAGACAGGAAAACACGGCTAGTATCATTGGTGCGGTTTGCCCACCAGGAGCATCCACCGGACAGGCCACTACTTGCAGGTGCGTAAGTGCAAACAGTCCATTTGCATTGTTGGTGATGTTGTCTTCGTTCCCTATGACATATGTTGACGGTGATGGTACAACAGCTGGAACTTCAACCTCGATGTGAGCCAACTGCACACTCGGCACCGCAATGGAATTGTTTGGTCGTTGAGTATTGGAATCAACTGGTGTGCCTTCCCATTTGAGCATGGCACGGTAGAGCCGCAGTTCATTGCTTGCTGAATATGTGACGATCATAACTCCTCCACCTTGAAAACATGTTAGAGGAACTGTTCATAAGACGGTGCGTAGTGACTATCGAGCATATATCTTACCATCTACCGGGGTCATAGATGCATGCGTTAGAACGTCGTCGGTATAACCTGTGTTCTGTAGCTCGATCACCATATCCCCCCATTTAGATTCTTGGTTTTGATAAAGCAATTTCAACTTGCCAGATCTCGTAACGACAAATAAAGCAAGCTTATGCAAAGGGTGAAATGGTCCCATTGGCCTGCGCGGGTATCTAACATAGGCCCATCGACCACTTGCCCTGCCAGCGTGGCTAAATGTATGCACCTTCAGAAGTAGGTCAGCAAGAAGAAAAGTCACCCACGAAAAGAGCAGTAATGACACAGGAGGATACGCACGGAGCGGTTCAAGGCAAGCCACATCAGTCCAACAGGTTGGTTCCCATCGTCATCAGGGTCCAAGGCTGGCGGACGCGACTGGATCAGAACATTGAGGCCAATCGACATTCCAACGATCGATATTCGACCGCAGGAGTCGACAACCGCCAGGTCGGTCCCAGGCTCATTCCACGCAAGATGGACCAGGGTATGGCCAGTCTGTGCTTCAGTAATGGGGTGCTCATGGTCTCCATCACTCAGACTCCATTTGCCATCCTCGGGACTGCAGTTGAGATTCCGTAGAAATGCCTTTGACCCGTCTGGGGCGATGTAGGCGATTGCGCCAGTCCTGGACCAGGCGATTTTCCTTTCAAAACCCAGTCAGCGAAGAATCGTTTTTGGCACAACAGCAAGCAGCAGCAGAGTGAGTTCAGGCTCTAAGAAGCAATCTGTACATACTGGCAGCATCCTAGTATCCGAAGCTCGTCAATGCGAGCAGGGAGTGCCTTCGGTGGCACAGGCGCCGACAAGCTCAGGTCCAGGCCGCCCGAGTCGCCGAAGAGGTCGTCCAACGTCTCTTCCATTTTTTCTCAGCCTCTTCCGGACAGTAAATCATCAGCTTGATGCGGTTTATGGTATAATCATTATGTTTCCGGCTGTTGTTGTAGAGCTGCTGGTTGCCTCGCCTGCAAATCTCAGGTCGATTGACGTTTGTTTGTGGTTTTGTTCGACGTTCGCGCTTAGAAGAAAAACCGCGAGCAGCCAAAAAAGACACAGCCAAACCATCACAACGCTGGTGACGATGAATCAATTGATTAATTAATTAGCAACTACGGGATATTACAAATTAACTACTGGATATATTCATACGGGCGACAGTCTTGCACGGTTTTTATAGGAATATTAATAGCTAATGGATTGCTTCCATTTGAAAACGAACGATGAATGATTTGTATAACAGCTCTCTTCGGCTCTATTACAATCATGTCTGCCACAACGCCAACTCCATGAGGTCTCGTAAATATGAATAGATGGGTAAAAATTGAGGCCTAGTCCCAGGAAGAGAAAAGAACGAGTAGCCTGGGAGGCAAAGAAGAAAGGAAAAGAAGGGCACAAAAAAGAAGAAGAAGCGCGCCAGACGGTAGTAGTACACACCCGTCCGCCAGCAACATATCACAGGGTATCTCGTATTGCTGCAGGACTCGTTCAGAAAAGGTGGGCACCGAAAGAGACGAAGCCGATAATTAGAGAAATTATTCATCCATGTGGACGACGGGGGTTGAAATTGGGATAGAACTGGCCGCCTAGGGCGAGACCGGATTAAGTACCAGTAGGTAGAAGGGGGGAGGTACACGGCTCAAGTGTGAACAACATTACTCTCTTTTTTCGTCTCTAGCTCCAGGGGCGCTGGGCCGTTGCTTCGAGCAGATTCAGGAGGAATTGGGTTCAGGACATCTTCGATCTTGCAAGGGGCGACCTCTTTTACCACCTTAGATTCTTTGGCAGCGGTAGCCTTCCTGCTCGGGAACGCCTTGTTGATTGGAATAGTCTTAGTAGAAGCATCTGCAGGCTTTGCCTTCTTCGCCCTGGGTTTGCGTGGCTGGTTGGACTTTTTGATAATCTTGGTGTTGACGCCCCTTGGTTTAGGAGGAGCGCTGGGCGTGGGACTCTGTGACCGTTTGCCGGGGTTGACGGAGTCCTCAGAGCTGGAAGATGGCGTAGGCATGCCGTTCGTAAACTCGGTGAACTTGATGGGTTTCTGAGGCGTGATGACGACGGATATTTCGGTATTCCCTGACTTGGCGCGATCAAACTCCTCTTCGGTGCACTCGGTGAAGGAGCGGTCATCGTCGTCCCATCTCTTGAGGCCGGCATGGAGTGCAACCTTGTCGCAGTCACCCTTGATGGCCAGATCCCAGCAATCTTCAAACTCCTTGCCAGAAGGGAGCGGGTCGTGGTTGATCCAAACGGTAGTCCCGTTTCTCCTGCCTCTCACGACACGGCACATTTCCTTGACAATGCGTCGTACGCCGGGAATCTTGAGACTAGTACCGACCACGACAAGCGCATCGGGCCTGGCGCGTAGATCAGCACTAACCACGGAACCTATGGCCTCCTCGTCTGGGTTGTACTCGTTATATAGCACCATACGAGGCCGTAATTTGCCGATGCCACGGCTCCGCTGGCCACCAACATGTCTAATTACCTCGTTCTTCTCACACTCTCCACAGAGTGGAGGGTCAGGCCCCTTGAACAAATCTGCTTCAAAGCTGGAAGCCTTACTACATTTCTGGCACACCATGGTGTGTAGGCCGCCGTGGAGTTGAATGGTGGTTGGCCAAGGGCCCTTTACCTCGAGGGGGACTTTGGTCTGCAGCGGCGGCAGGGAGGCCTCGATTCCGTCGACATTCTGGGTATACAAGCGTAGAAGCCGTCCTTCATGTGCCAGACGAGCAAGTAGATGGTGGAATGCAGTAGGCTTTGCAGACGCAGAAAGCTTCGACAGCGTCCGCACCATATCATGGAACGAAGAGATCATGGATTCATCCTGATAGACAACTGATGCGTCGAACAGCTGCTTTCCCGACGCTTTCAGCTTGTGGTCCTTCTTCAGCGTGCTAAAGAGGCCATGAGACGACCGAAAATCGGGAACTGCAAGTGTTTGACCCTCCGTCAGCGTCCCCCGAGAACATGAATTGGCAGCCCAGCTTTGGATAAGGGGGAGGAGGGAAGTCTACAAGGAAAACTTACTTCCAGCAGAGACTGAGATGCCAGCGCCCGCCACCACCACGATCTTGCGGTGCTCACGCAGCGTCCGCAGCAGCAACTTGAGCTGCTCTTCCTGGCCCGGACAGACTTGCTTGTCCGGGTACGTGAGGTCGAGATGTCTGGTGATTCTGGGCTTCGGCTCGATCTTCCGCTTCTTACGTACCGGCGCAGATTCCACCGTCCCGGCGGCCTTCGACGCGGCAGCGGGCTGGGCCTGGCAGGCCTGCGACTCCGGCGGAGAGGGATAGAGGCTGTCTTCCGACGGAGGAGTCGACGGGAGCGAGCTGAGCTCTGAAGAGGTGTCGGAGAGCTCAAATTCCATCGTGGGCGCGAAGACGCGAGCGCTTTGCAGGGTCGGAGGCGAAGCTGCGGTGCGGAGGAGGCAGAGGAGGCGCCAAAGCCGTGTCTAACGCGTGCCAACTGGTCGTCTTATAGCGGAACCATCGCCATTGGAGTAGACGGGGCCGGCAGAGAGTCGTTGGGGGGGTTGCTGTCGCCCGGTGATGGTTATGGCGGTGGTTGTTGTTTTTGTGTGTGCGAAGAAGAAGCAGCAGCAGCAGCAGCAGAAGAAAAAAAGTCGATGACGGAGTTTCGATGGCGAACGCAAGCAGATTTTCCTTTCTAGCGCAGAAACGCAACCAAAACAAACAACAAACCAGGGCTCGACGGGGGGGAAGCAGGGGGGCCCGCGGGAAGGGAGGACGGCGGCGGGAGGCTGCTACGCTCGACGGCCTACGGGGATGCTTGATGCTTGTATTGAACAGAGAACTAGCTGCGTGTAGATGCTGCCAATGGAGACGTAGCTGGTCTATCTAGTTATTTTTTTATCTGAATCCATCGCTCAGTCGCTGTCGCTGTCGCTGTCGCCAGAATCCCCTGCGGCGGCTGCCCGTCTCTGCGCCGAGTCGCTGTCCTCTATCCGGTCCGTCGAGTCTTCTTCCTGCTCGCCCTGAGACTCTGTCTCGTCCTCGGCCAGCTCGTCCTCCTCCTCGTCCTCCTCGTTGCTGAGGTTGGTGTCGTCCATCGGCTCCGTGTCGTCGTCGTCGTCCAGCGCCTCCCCTGGGTTGCGGCTACCGGTTTCCCGTGCTGTTGCACCAGCCGTGGACGATGTTCCAGAGCCTGATGCCGCTGTCTTCCTCTTGTCGTCGCCGTCTCGCTTGAGGCGTTTGCTTCCCGGCTGGTCATCGCCCTGTCCGCCGCTGCCATCCTTGCCTGACTTTCCTTTCTTCTTTGACTCGCGTTTATTGTTCATAAGAGCCGTGTAGGCCTTGAGCTGTTGCTCTAGGTGTGGCCGGAAGTCACCGAGCTCTACCTCTGTCAATGCTGCAAGCACATCCTGTGGCGTCAACGTCTTCTTGTCCGTCATGTCATTCGCACTGTACACACAAATGCCATTAGCATATTATTGATATAGAGAGTGCGAAACCACGGGGCGACAAGCCAACTTACTGTGAAGATATGTACGAGACGAATACTGTTGCAGCTTTTAGTATGGCCGTGACCGCATCACGCTGGACTCCAGTACCGGGTGGCAGCATGTCCTTTGCCAGCCGCATTATAACACTTCGAGGGAGTAGAATATCCTAAACAAAGTAGACACGCAGTTGTGTCTCTCCTTGTCAGCCCATGGCCATTTAAAGTCATTTGTAGGCAGCACTGCTGGCAGTTTGGACACTGGTAGGACAGCTCTACAGAAGAGCTACCCCCTCAAGAGCACCATCTAGAGGCGGAGGAAATGCCAAAAGACACATATAAAGGAAGCAGGGATAGCTCACATCAACACCTAGTCCCGTCTCTGTGCCTTCAGAGGCTGGCGCATTATCACCAGCATCTGTCTCGCCCGCTTGGATATTTATGGGATCTCTGCCGTTTGGTTCTCCCGCCTCGTTTGTGGACATTGTAAAGAAAAAAAAAAAAAAAAAAAAAAAAAAAAAAAAAAAAAAAAAAAAAAGAGCGGCACAGCAGCTATCACTGTATCTAATCGAATAGGCTACGGAGCCAGCAAGACCGATCTCTCTCTCCCGTCGCTGGCGTTGCTGGTGGAGGGAGGTTGCTTCCCCGGGCGCGGGCAAGTTCGAGCAGACGAAGCTGGAACCGAGTTAGCTAAAGCTCGCCACGAACATACACAGGGCCAAAGAAGACGAAAAATACCTTGAATCCAAGCAGTATCCCTGTGTTAGCCGTAAGGTATGCCGGTTGACTTTATGCGATTGCTGTGATGATAACTAGTTATGGCGGGATGTCACTTGCGAGCAAAAAGTTCATTCAAGGTTGGGATAATTTTTTTTTGGCTCTGCCAACGCTTGGAGAAGCTCGACTTGTTGGAGCTGCAGTGTCTATCAAACGTCTATTATTCATGAAGTATTCAAGGGAGAGATAATACAAGATATGTACGTGTTAAGAGAAGACCTTGACTGCTTGAGAAAATATAACCACGGCAGTTCTTTTGTACGCCGCGAAGGGGAATTATCATTTCTGCGTAAGCTACACCAGGTGGAAACAACTGTTAAGACCCTATTGCGCCGTGTATAAAAGACCCATGAAGAAGAAGAAGAAGAAGAAGAAGAAATAAGAAACACGTCTACTCTTTCATCTGCTCATCATTGTCCTCTGGGACGGCATCGTCTCCCCATAGACCCTCGAGTTTGAACTCCTTCGCCCATTCGGTCACTATCTGCTTTGTATCAGCTGCCGGTCCGCTGGCTTCCCCTACAGCATCGTTTTCTACGGCAGTAGAGACGGGCAACGCAGGTGCCTCAAGCCAGCCCTGAATGCGCCCATCTCTCCAGTCAGTGATGACTGTCGTGGCGGCGCTGTTGATATTGGGCGTGCCTCCTCTGCCTAGTCTGCCTCTCCTGCGGGCAACTTGAATAAGAAAGTCAGTCGTCTTGTCCCCGTTTGTTGGGAACAGCGGAGGGATGCCGTAGAAGTCAAGCATCTTTGAAAGTAGGCCTTCAGACGCAGAGAGCCTCTTGAGCAGGAGGGTCACGGCTGGGTTGGATCGGAAATCTGCTTGGGGGGTATAGCATTGAGAAGGATGAGGCGAGCTTGCTCCTTTATTTTTCGAGACTCAGATGACTTGGGCTTTTCGGCGTTGGGGAAGACAATTCCAGGCGAGTCGATGACCTTCAGCTTGCTGTCTAGTTTGACTTCACGAAGGCTTGTGGTAACTCCAGCCTCCGCGCCAACAGGGCATACGTTAGCATTGCCTCTGGTGACACGGCTGGTCAGCGAGTTGATCACCGACGACTTGCCCACGTTAGGATACCCGATCACGCCAACTGAGACGGCCCGTTTTAACTGCTTGTCATGTGCGTATGCCTTCAGGGCCTTGAAGAGCGTCTCTGAGGTCCCCTTGACCGTCAACTGTTTGTGGTCAAAAGTGTGCGCGTTGGGAGCTCCAGAGGACGCTCGGAGGGGGAGCGTAGGGAAATAGCGCCGTAGGTATACCAGCCATCCTTTCAAAACTGGCGGAGGAACAAGATCGATCTTGTTTAGAATCAGGATAAGACGT